ATCCCTAGCGTCGACACAGGGGTCTTAGTGGCCCAGACAGCCCAGACTCTGGGTGCCCAGATCTTCTTGCCACCCCCAGGGGGCCCCAGGGACAGAGCAGGAAAGGCCCCATGGTCCAGGGGTTAGATCCCTGGAATTGGATTGAGAGGGAGGCCTCAGAGCCATAGTCTTCAGACCTCAGGGTTACAGCTAAGGAAACTGAGGCCCAGAGAGAAAGGTCACACAGCTAGGAGGGTGCAAAGCCGGGGCTTGTCTTCCAACTCCAATATCTTCCCTCTCCCATGAGGCCTACCTTCCTTATCCTAACTCCATTACTAATTAGCTTAGTTAATTAGAGGAAGTCATTTCCGATCGGGGGCATCCACTCCCCCATCTGCAGAATGGGCGGATTGGTATAAATGATGCCTAAAATCTCTCTGAAGCTGCTTTCGTGGGACCAGGTGGCAGCCTGAGGAATATGGCAGGCCATGCTGCTCAGGGCAGCGTCTGGACTGGCTCTGCAGGGGGGCTGATGGAGGCCTGTCCAGCCGTCCTGGAACCTCAGTGGGTGTCCTGGCCTCCAGGCCTGCTCCCCTCCTAATCCCTGGAACCAGGAAAGCAGGCAGGAGGCAGAGGGTCTCAGGACTGTGGCTGGCAGCTCGTGACTCTCCTTAATCAGCTAAGCTGGCCTGGAGGTGGCCCCGGAGCCTCGGAGGGCTCAGCTGGGGCCACGGGCATTCCACACATGCCTTACCTTTGGGCAGCTCTGGGGGTGGGGGTTTGGATTCAGGCTGGGGCGGCAGGATCAGGGCCCTGGGGATGGGCAGGAGGGTGGACGGGTCGGGAAATGTCTGGAAGACATTTCTATAGCCCACTTCACACGCCTCCTCAGTCCAGCCTCCCCTCCCTTTCATCCCTCTGAGGGCAGTAGTGCAGGTGTGGGTTAAGGATGAAGAAACTGAGGCACAGAGCACTCCCATAGCTGGGATGTTTCCAGTGAGAGAGATCCCAGGAATCCTCGACCAGAGCTGCAAGGGCCATTGTGCTACAGATGGGGAAACTGAGGTCTCGAGTGGCAGACAGCCTACCCATTCTCCTGCTGGCGCTAACGAGCTGGGGAGCGGTGACTCAGACAAGATGGGGAGAGAGAGGAGAGGGGGGAGCTGGCGTGAGAGTGAGGGGCAAGGTGGGACAGAGGGGCAGGTGTTGATGCCCAGAGTTAAGAAGGGTACCCGGTGCCATCCTGAAATTGTAGAATGAAGAACTGGGCCTGGGATCTCCCATGTCAGGAAACACCCTTTACCATTGCAGACCAGCACCTTCCCAGCTAGAACGCCCCGGTCACCTAGGCAGGGAGGATCAGAGGCGGGGCTCGAACCCCCAACTTTCAGCCCGGCTCTCTGTGCAGGGTCACACACAGCACTCTGCCTCTCTGGAAGGGGGCAGGCAGAGTGGGATCCAGGAGTGGCGGTGAGAGCTGAGGCTGGGGGTGGGGGCCGGGTGAGTCTGTAGGCTGTGCGTGTGGGGGTGGGTGGCTGGGACCCTGCCCGCCGGCCTCTCCCTCCGCTGCCCGGCCTGCCTGACGCACCATTGGCGTCAGAACTGTTATCGCTTCAGCCTCACTCCTGGGAAGGTGACCTCAGGGAGGGAGAGGGGCCGGCCCCTCCCTCCTTCCCTCCCCTGCCTGGCATCTCAGGACAGGGCTGGGAGGGCCCTGGGTTGGGCAGATGTTTCCTCTGGGTAGGGCCTGGCGAGTCTCCCCCTCAGCGGGCAGGGGCAGGGAGAGCTTTTGGCCCAATCCTGGGGTGGGGCCCAGGGCCAGGCCCCAGACAGGGCTCTGGAGTCCTCTGCTGCACACCCCCATTTCACAGATGAGGAAGCTAGAGCCCAGAAAAAGGAAGGGTCTGGGTAATATCACACAAGTAAGGAGGCTCCCAGCCAAGGTCAAGCCCAGGCCTCGGGCTCTGTGCAGCCTCTACCTAGCTCAGGGGCTGGCACACAGTAGGCACTTAATAATGGCATGCTTGCTCACTCAGTGGATGGATGAATGGATGGGTGGATGGAATGGTTTGTCTGCGGGCAGGGGTGATGTGGGAGACAGGGATGAACTTGGGACCTGGAAAATCTGGGGGCAGCGAGGTGGCACAGTGGCTAGAGCACCGGCCCTGGAGTCTGGAGGACCTGAGTTCAAGTCCGGCCTCAGACCAAACACTTAACACTTACTAGCTGTGTGACCTTGGGCAAGTCACTTAACCCCAATTGCCTAAAAATTAAAAAAAATCTGGGTTTGACTCTCACCTCCAAAGCTTATCATCTGTGGGAAAGTCAGTCCTTCAGTAAGTATTTATTAAGTGCCTACTATGTGCCAGGCACCGTGGAAGGGCCAGGGATAAAAAGAAAGGCAAGACCAGTCCCTGCCCTCAGGGAGCTCTCAGTCTAATGGGGAGCAACATTCATAAGGCAGAACATACAAGGGAAATGCAGAGTGGACGGAAGAGCCCCTTCGGGGGGATGGTACCAGCAGCTGAGGAGAAAGGGGAATAGGAAATATTTCCTGAAGGAGATGGTGCTGGGCCAGGGATTGATTCTAAGAGGAGAAGGTGGGGAGGGAGAGCATACCAGGCAGGGGGCAGCGCCGGTGCAAAGACACCAAGGTGGGAGAGTGTTGTGTGAGAAGAATGGAATATGTAGGTGAAGAATGTAATTTGGAAAGGTAGGAAGGAGCCAGGTCCTATCGGGCACCGAACGTCAAACAAAGAACTTTATGGTTGATCCCGGGGGTAATAGGGGGCCGCTGGAGTTTATTGGGGAGGGTGAGGGGAGACGTGATCAGACCAGCATTTTGGGAAAATCCCTTTAGTGGCTGAATGGACAATGGATTGGAGGGGGAGAAACTGGAGGCAGGCCCCGAAGCAGCTACAGGCAGGAGGTGATGAAGGCCTGCACCAAGGTGGGGGGGGGGGCATGTCAGAAAAAACAAGGGGAGATACATACATGTGCAAATACATGAGATGTTGTCGAAAAAGAAATGACAAACTCTGGCAATTGATTGGATGTGTGAGGTGATCAAGAGACAGGAATCAGGGATGGTGGGGAGGAAGCTTTTAAGTCCTTCAGTTTTCCCATCTGTAAAATGGGTATAACAATCATCTAGCGAGTTGTTGTGAGGTTCAATATAAGACAATTGTGTCGAGCAAACTTTAAATGGCTGTGCAAATGTCAAGAGGACTTCTCCTCCCCAGGGGTTGTAAGCAGAGGTTATACGAGCATTCTTTGGGCCTCTGTGAAAGGGGTTTCCTTCTTAGACTTACTGGTCCATCCATCTCTGAGATTCTGCAAATCTGGAAGAGGAAGCCACGGAGGCTTCAGGTTCCAGCTCAAGCTGTTCCACTTTGGAGCTGAGTGGCCTTAAGCAAGTTGTCATCTCTGTCTGAACCTCAGTTTCCTTTTCTGTGAAATGAGAATTGTACATCCTGGTCGTGAGGAAAGCGATCAGTCATTGAGCATTTATTAAGCGCCTACTGTGACCTCGAAGCTACAAAAACAAAATCAGGCCCTTCCCTCAAGGAGCTTCCAGTCTGTTGGGGGAAGCAACAGCTAAGCTCCAGAATGGGTACAAATATATAGACAAAGTAAATGCGCAGTAATCTGGGCAGGGGAGGAAGGACTTTTGAGCTGATGGGAGAAAGGATTGCGCCCCATTCAAGGGGAGCTGCCCGTGCCAACATGGAAGGGGGGGGAAATGGGAGCGCCATGTTGGCTGGGCTGGAGAACGTGTGAAGGGAAGTGATGTGTCAGGAGACGGGAGGAAGAGGAGGAGGGCTCTCAGGGCCCCCTGAATCTTGGAGGTAATAGGGAGCCCTGGGAGTTTATTTAGCAGCGGAGTGACACAGTCAGGTGTACACATTAAAACCACTTTGGCAGCTGAGAGGAAGAGGGATTGACGTGGGGAGACATGGAGGCAGGGAGGCCAGTAAGAAAACACCTTAGAAGAGTGCAGCTCATGGCGGCTGTGAGCGAAGAGGAGGGGGCTGAGTGAGAGAGGTAGTCGAGATTCAGCCGGTGCCTGGCACACAGTAAGCGCCTAATTAATGCTTGCTGACTTGGCTTGACAGTGTTTGGCATCTGGATAGATTGTGGATCAAGTGAGAATGAGGAGGAGAGGACGACCCTGAGATGCGACCCCGGGGCGTGGGAATCATGGCAGTGCCTTCGATGAAGAGAGGCAAAGGAGTGTTGAGCTGGAGACGTCTGCAGGACGTCCAGATGGAAACACCCAATGCGCAGTGGGGAATGGAGGGCTGGGGTTCAGGACAGGAACGGGCTGGGTGTGGACCTGGGGGGGTCATAGGGGGAAATGAAGGTGATGTAAAATCAAAAGACAGCAATAGAAATATCAGAGGTGGCGTAGTGGATAGAGCACCGGCTCTGGAGGCAGGAGGACCCGAGTTCAAATGCGGCCTCACTAGCTATGTGTCTCTGGGCAAGTCACTTAACCCCACATGCCTCACAAAAAAAAAAAAAGAAAAAGAAATATCAGAGGAACAGCGGGGGTGGTATATAGTGGAAAGACAGTGCTGGGAGCCCAGAGGGGCCTCTGGGAGCAACCCAGGAAGGCTTCTGGGAGGTGAGCCCTCCCAGGCTGGCTCTGAGCATCCATCCTGCCCGGGCCGTATCAGCTAAAGGGCCTGATCCATTTATTCGTAGGATTTGAGAGCTGGGAGGGATCTAGCCCTGCGCCCCCCAGCCCACATCCACAAAGAATTCCCACCATAGTGCACCACAAATGGTCCTCCAGCCTCTGCTGACAGACCTCCAGGCAGCAGGAGCCTACCCCATCAGCAAGCATGGGTTATTCTGTAGGCTTTGATTAAGAGCTGACTGTATGCTCCAGGCACTGTGCTGGGGGGTGGGATGGGGTCAGGCTCGATGGTCTGCAGGGAGGGAGTGAGGAGGGGCCGACCCTGTCCAGATGCGTTCCTGTGTTGACCTCTGTCCTTTCTTATGTCTCCTTCCCCCAGGCCATGACATCAATGGGGCCCTAGAGCCTTCTAACATAGACACAAGCATCCTAGAGGAATATATCAGCAAAGAGGACTCTTCAGACATGTAAGTTCTGTCCTACCCCCCCTCCCTCCCTGCAGGGGCTCCTATGGCCAATCTCCCGGGGGATGGGGCAGGAGAGGGGACAGTCCCTGGGGCAGCTAGGTAGTGCAGTGGATAGAGCAACAGCCTTGGAATCAGGAGGACCTGAGTTCAAATGCGACCTCAGACACTTGACACTTACTAGCCATGTGACCCTGGGCAAGTCACTTATCCCTAATTGCCTCACCCAAAAAGCAAAAAAAAAAAAAAAAAAAAAAAGAGAGAGAGGGAACAGTCTCCTGGTTGGTAGTCTGGGGTTGGAGGTCCATGTAAATCACTGCCTAACTCAGCCTTGGTTTGCTCATTTGTAAAATGGGATTAATCATCCTTGTACTGCCTTCTTCATGAAAGTGTTGGGAGGAAGGTGCCTATGAACCTTAGAAGGCTGGAGAGATGGGAACTGTGGATTCCTGAGTAGGGGGCCGATCTGGCCTGACCAGCTTTGATTAAGTGCCTACTATGGGCCGGGCTGTGGGACCCCGAGACAAAATGAAAAGTCCCTGACCTTGAGAAGCTTACATTCTACTGGGGAGCGGGAACAACAGATGAAAAATCAATGCAAAATACACACAAAGTACATTCATCATAATTTGGGGGGTTAGAAGGGGGCACTGAAGAAAGACTCCCCCCTGTAGCAGCTGAGCCCTGAAGGAAGCTAGAGATTCCAAGAGGCAGAAGGAGGAAAAGGAGGACATTCAGGGCTGTGCAAAGGCCTGGAGGTGGGAGTTGGGATATCGTATCCAGGGAACTTCATTTAGTAATTGCCCACTGCCTGCAAAGTACCGGCCAGGAGCAAACCTCTCTCAGCCTCAGTTTCCTCATCTGTAAAATTCAGGTCATAATAGTACCTGCCCCACAGGTGGGGTGGCTGGGAGGGTCAGATAAGATCCTATATACAGGAGATGCTTTGCAAACCTTGTGTGTGCGTGTATGTGTGTGTGTGTGTGTGTGTGTGTGCGCGCGCGCAGCACTGCATAAATATTAACTATTCATATTATTGTTAGGGGATAGATAGTTCCCAGGTGATGAGTTGTTAATAATAATTATTATTATCATTGCTCTTATTAAACTATGTCAAAAGACAAAGATGAAATAGCATCTTAACACAGTGATCCTCACACAGTAAACATTTAATAAATGTTTGTTGACCGACGGATGAAACAGTCACTGACCTCAAGGAGCTTATGTTACTTGGAGGGCAGGAACGACTGTATTATATACCCAGACTTTAAATACAAAGTGATTGGAGTATTGGAGGAAATCAGGGAAGGCTTCCCTGGAGAGGTGGCACCTGGGTGCGGCCTCTAGGAGAGGCGAGGGGACCTGGAGTCGGGAAGTTGTCTTCCTGAGACCAAATCTGGGCTCAGACGCTTACTAGCTAGGTGACCTTGGGCAAGTCACTTAACCCTGTCTGCCTGTTTCCTCATCTGCAAAAAGGGCTGGAGAAGGAGTTGGCAAAGCACTCCAGTATTTTTGCCAACAGAACCCCAGATGGGGCCATGAGGAGTGGGACAGGACCGAAAGGACTGAACAGTAAAGGACCCCCGAGGCGGGGGAGAGGGGGACAGACCTGCCAGGCATCCCGGACACCCTGGGCGAGTTGGGGGAACAGCTGCCCACCGGGTGTGGCTGGACGCAGGGCCCAGTACATTCGGAAAGGGCTGGGGGAGCCGGATCCAGAGGCCCCACCCGTGCCCGCTGGGTAGTCCGGGGATTCTCCAGGGACTTCCTCTGCTGACTCCTCCCGGCGGCTCGGCAGCTCACCCGAGGGGGAGTCCAGCTTTATAGAGCGCCTACTACGCGCCACGCAGGCGCTGTGCTGGACCGTTTTTAAACAAATATTGTTTCAGTTGAACCTCACGGTGATTCTGAGAGGCAGGTGCTGTTGTCATCCCCATTTTACAGCTGAGGAAACAGAGGCGAAGTGTCTTACCCTGGGCCACACAGCTAGTAAGTGTCTGAGGCTGGATTCGAACTCGCGCCTTCCCGCGCTCTATCTGCTGCACCGCCGGTGTGCGCTTCTCTCTGGAGATGGGAGACGTTCTTGATCAGCAGCAGACGTCTCTTGGCAGCCCACGCTGCGTTCGTTCTGGGTTCATTGATCTAGAGCTGGGAGGGGCCTAATGAGGAAACTGAGGCCCAGGGAGTGACCAGAGTGTGAGAAGAAGGCGCCACAAGGTTTGCTTTCTGAGGCTAAGGACCTCCCCGAGCCGAGGACCGGGGTTCAGGTTCTAGAAAGGAGGTGGTACAAGAAAAGTCCCATTTTGCTGATGGGCAGCCTGAGGCCGCAAGAGAGGGGCAGTGACTTTGCCAGGGTCACAAGGCCAGTGAGTTGCAGAGCTGGGTCTTAAGCATTAAAGTTTCCCTTTTGGAAAGGTCCTCTCGCTCTCCTCTGGGCCTCAGTTTGCTCACCTGTGAATGGGCGGGGTCCCTTCCAGCTCTAAACCGCTGACCCTCTGTGGCCTGGTAGGCCCGTGCATGCAGAAGTTGGCCTTGCTGTGTCCATGGAGGATGGAGTGGAGAGGGGAGAAGCTGGAGGATGGGGGGCCGGGGACCAGTTGGGAGGGGATGGAGGCCTGCAGTTAGCGCAGAGACCAGGGACAGAGACGGGGTGGGGGCCACTGGGCAGGTTGGCACCTGACTGGATGAGAGGGAAGTCTAGTAGGGAGGTAGTGGGGCAGGCCTGGAGGTCCGGAGGGCGAGCAGGGCTGGACTTGTAGAATGGGGGCCGGCTGCAGCAAGGGAGAGCCGAGGCCCCATGGCTCCTCAGTCTGTGAACTACTCAACCGGCATTCATGAAGAATGTACCGAGCACTGGGCTGGGGGTGCCAGGGAAAAGCAGGAACCGAGGCCCGACCCCCAGGGAGCTGACCTGTTAGTGGGGAGGCCACAGGTACATACACAGAAGCGAGAGACAAACAGAGGGGAAGAAGCAGGGTAGGCCGTGAGGCATCCCCCGCAAGATGGTGCTTGAGCAGAGCCTGTTGGGAGCCAGGCATCGGAAGAGGAAGAGACGAGGACCCAGAGCGTTCCCGGCCTGGAGAAGGAAGCTGATTCTCCATTTCAGTCCATCCTTGAGGTTGTCAAGGAAAAGGGTGGAGCCAGGCTGCCATCTTTGGGAAGGGCCTTGGCTGCTGCCTTCCGGGCCTTCGGCGGGAGCTCATGGCCCAGCCCGGGGAGATGTGTGCTTCCGCCTCGCTTCCCCGGGTCTCGGGCTTAGCCCTGGACCTGACATCTCCTAGCGGCGGGATATTGGGCAGCCTCACTTTGCTTTTCCGTAAAATGGGAGTAGAATCATTTTTGCTGCACCTACCTGACCGGAGTCTGGATCATAGCACAGAGATGCAGAGTTAGATGGGGCCTCAAAGGTCACCTGGTCCAACCTTATTTAGCAGAGGAGGAAACTGAGGCCCAGGGAAGGTCAGTGTCTTACCCGAGGTCACACAGGTTGTAGGAGGCATGGTCCTGATTAGAACTTGGGACCTCCGACTCATACTGCAACCCTGATTAGACTGCATCAGGCAGAGAACTTAATACGCTTGAAAGTTCTGCTTTTATTAATATTAATTATTATTAATATGAATATTGTTGTTATTACCATAGCCATCATTCTTTAAGGTTTGCAGAGCACCAGTCGTGGGTTATCTCACTTGATCTTCATGCCAGCCCTGGGAGGTGGGGGCTGTATTACCCCCATTTTACAGACCAGGAATCTTGAGTCTGAGAGGCGAGGTTCCGTGACGTGGCCAGGGTCCCACAGCTGGCACGTGTCTGAGGTGGCACTAGAACCCAGGTCTCCCTGGCTCCCAGCCCGGTGCTCCATCCGCGAGGCTGGGGGTTGGCGCCTTGGGCTCTTGCCGCGGTCCCTGCCTGAACCCTCTGCTTCTGCCCACAGCTGCTTCCCCGATATACCTGCTCCTGCCGGCTACCCACACACCCAGCCCTCTGCCTCCAGCGGTGGCCATCACCTGAGCCCACCAGGGGGTGGGGGAGGACCCTCCTCAGGCCGCCATGGCCCCCTCCCACCCCCGCCCTGCGGGCCCGGCTTCAGTGCCCACCTCAACGTCAACAACAACAATGGTCTGGCGGTGCCCAAAGGCTTTGCAGGGCACTGTCTGAGCGGGGGCTCGGGGCCACCTATCAAATCGGAGCCCAAGGCAGCCTATGCCCCAGGGTGAGTGAGGATGGGGCTGGACCGGGGGCAGGAGGGGCAGGGAGGCAGCCCCAGGGGGCAGCCTCAACTGAGGGCAGTCCCAGGGGCTCGGGGTGAGAAGCAGCTGTATGCGGACACCCGCCACGCGGCCGGGTCTGCGCAGGGAGCGGGCAGGAGAGAAGGCCTCTGCTCCCCGCTGTGAAATGAGGAGGTTGGGTTAGCTCAGCTTAGGTGACCCCAGAGGAGGGAGTAGCTGACCAGGGTCAGAAGCGCTGCCCCCCACCCCCACCCCATCACGTCAGCCTCACAAACACCCTGGGGAGCATACACGTGCATGCATTTCTTGTGTCCATGGATGCTGTTAAGTACCTGCGTGTCCCTGGCACGTCACTGTCCTTCTCTGGGACTCAGACAGAAGCTGGACGCTTACATTCTGTGTTCTAGGCTCTGAGTCACCTCCTGGCCCTGACATCCTGTGTTCTAAGTCCCCTCCCAAATCTGACATTCTGCATCTGTGTTCTAAGGTTCCGGGGTCCCTCCCACCTCTGACATTCCGTGTTCTACGTCTCCTCCTAGCTCCAGAGAATTGGGTTTGGGTTCAGGGGTCCTACGCCCTCCAGAGGAGGAGAAGACCCTCGAGCAGTGCCCCTGCCTTCCCGTTGGCGGGCCATGAGGTTCCGGTCCCCAGTATCCGGAGGGCGGGTCAGACTCTTCTGCTTGGCCCCGGGGAGGGAAGCTGCAGGCGGACAGACAGACAGACAGACAGATTCAGTGGCGGGAGACCTGGCCCGGAGAGGAGGGTGGTGTTCCTCTGCGAGGATGGGCTGGGGGACCCTCGCTCTCAGGCTCTGTGCCTCTGGATCTGCATCACAGCTCTGCCACCAGTGACTCACCTGGAGAGCACGGTCACGTCATCGCCATCGTCGTCCTAGCTAGCGTTTATATGGTGCTTAAAGGGTTATAATGTTATCTCATTTGATCTTTACAACAGCTCTGGGAGGTGGGTGCTATTATGGCCTCCATTTTATGGGTGAGGAAACTGAGGCAGGCAGAGGTTAAATGACTTGCCCAGGGCCACACAGCCAGTTAGTGTCTGAGGCTGGATTTGAACTCAGTTCTTTCTGACTCCTGACCCAGTGCCCTCTGACTGTGGCGCCCCCTGCCAGCCTGTTGACCTTTTAACCTTTCTGAGCCTTGGTTTCCTCCTCTCCAAAATGAGGGGATTGGCCATGCCCACCTCTCGGTCTGGGACCTGATCTCTTAGAACTCTGGGGTGTGAGGTCCTTTTTGCTCTTAAATCCTGAGATTCCCTCGTCTGCATCTCCACTCATGGCCTACGACTTCATCCCGGGGTGTGGCGTCCATACATGCACATGTGTGCACGCGTACGCACACATGCACTCACATACATGCACATGTACACACACATGCACACGCACACGCACACACACATTCCGTGGTGCCCTACAGGAGCGTGCCTGGTACCAGTGTGGGCCGTAGGTCTCTTGGCTTCGTTCTTGGGGTTGGGGTTGGGCTCCCTGGGTCCTGTCTCTAGGACTGGCCCGGCACCCGGCCTTCCTGGATACAGGACCCAGGGAGCCCAGTCCCTAGTCCAATCCATCCTTCTGGGACCGGAATCTCATGTCCCACCAACGGGAGGCGGGGGCACTGCTCGAGGGTCTTCTCCTCCTCTACAGGGTGTAGGACCCCTGAACCCAAACCCAATTCTCCAGAGCTAGGAGGAGACGTAGAACACGGAATGTCAGAGGCGGGAGGGACCCCGGAACCTTAGAACACAGATGCAGAATGTCAGATTTGGGAGGGGACTTAGAACACCCTCAGCACAGCCTCCCAGTTCCCTCCAGGTCCCGCTTAGCATCTGTGAGGGCCATTGTCTAAAGGCATGGAGCCATGTTGTCCGTGGGCTGAAAGTTGCAATTGGAAACCCAGCAGGAAGGAATGATGGGGGCCCTTGAAACTGCGTCGTAGAGGGATCCATTGACGAAAGAAACATGGCAGTCACTGGGAACAGAGGGTGGAGGTGACAGAGGCCGACATGGGTTTCACGTGGGGGAGAAGGAAGCTGTCCCACAATCTAACGGGCAGCCTTGGGGGAAGCGGGTCTTTCTTTCTTTGAGGTCTTCAAGTAGAAGTCCCGGGAGGCCGTGGAGAGGGTCTTTCCCAAGCATGAGTATGGGGGCCTTTGAGGTCCTTCCCAGCTCAGAGATGCCCCCTGCCCCAAATCATGGCAGATCTGTACCTAACACCCTGGCTTCTCCAGGAATGTGGACCCGAGCCAGAGACAGGCCAGAACGGTGCAGTGACGATGGGGGTGAGGGAGCGGGGACACCCTGCAGACCTTTCAGGAAGAGTGAGCGTGAAGGGGCATGCTTAGGCTCTGGAATCTATGGGCCAAACAGATCTATTGATCCTGTCCTGGCCGAGGGCCAGGGGGTGGGTGGGTGCCAGGCTCTCATTGACACTCAGGAGAGGTCAGTTTAAGCCCAGGAAAAGTGTGTAGGGCTTGGCATCAGGGGACCTGGATTTGAATCCAGACCAGCTCATTATTAGTGGGGCGACTCGGGGCTCTTGTTCTCTTGGCCTCAGTTTACTTCTCTGTAAAATCAGGGACTCCTGCCTAGCCCTAAATCTGTGATCGCCAAAGGGTCCTGCGTCACCTAATGTTCTGGACTCCGACAGGAGCTCCTTGGGAGTGGGGCTGGCTTGTTCTTTCTGTATCGCTAGTGCTTTGCACACAGTAAGCACTCAATAAATGCTCTTTTCGTTCATTCTTAGAGAATGTATGTAACTCATTCCATCCAACAGGCACCTGTTAAACACCTACTGTGTGCCAGGCCCTACGGGATTTGTTGTTGTCCACTTTCAGTCACGTCCGACTCTTTGTGACCCCACTTGGGGATTTTTTGGGCAAAGATACTGGAGAGGTTGCCGTCTCCTTCTCCAGTCCGATACAGAGGCACCTTGGAGACGGTCCAGACCCTGGAGACTTTGACCTGCAGCCACCCCTGCTTTTGAGAGGCTCCTCACCGCCCTGGGGTCTGCACCACCTCCCCTCATCACCTCCCTTTCCCTCCCCTCGGGTCCCTGCCATCTCCCCTCATCACCTCCCTTTCCCTCCCCTCGGGTCCCTGCCACCTCCCCTCATCACCTCCCTTTCCCTCCCCTTGGGTCCCCTCCCCTCATCACCTCCCTTTCCCTCCCCTCGGGTCCCCTCCCCTCATCACCTCCCTTTTCCTCCCCTTGGGTCCCCTCCCCTCATCACCTCCCTTCCCCTCCCCTCGGGTCCCTGCCACCTCCCCTCATCACCTCCCATCCCCTCCCCTCATCACCTCCCTTCCCCTCCCCTCATCACCTCCCTTTCCCTCCCCATATTTTCCAGGTTCTGTCCATTTTTCTTCCTTCTCTCACCCACTTCCTTATAAAGTGATTTTCCTAAAGTGACGGGTCACTCCCCTGCTCCCCAGACTCCAACAGAAAGCCCTTTGTTGGAACGGACCAGCCTCCTCCTACCTTTCCAATCTTCCGACATTCTGGTCCCCCCCCCCACATTCTGTGACTATCTGCAATCAGTCAAGCACAAAGCATTTATTAATCGCCTACTGTGTGCCAGGCTACAAAACCCAGAGTAGGCAAGTAGGAGCTGGCAGGTGGCCGTCATTTGGATTCCTTCCCTTCCTCTCCACCTGGGCCGGGGCATCTGCTGATTGCCCACCGAGCAGTGGTCCCACAGAAATGTCCAAAGGGGCATAGCCAGGAGTCAGAAGGGTCCTCCCTTGAGAAGCCATTCAGCCCACCCCTTACCTGACCAGGGAATCCTCCTGTGGTGTCTTCTACAAGGGGTCATCTAGTTAAATACCTCCAGTGATGGGGAACTCAGTACCTCTGAAGGCACCTCATTCCTCTTTTGGACATCCCAAAAGGTTTAGATAAAGTCGTGGATGATGGAGCCTTAATAAGTTATGAAGGGAACCAGGGGTTCAGGGGAGGGGGACGTGAGGGAGGAGACCCCCCCTGGGTGGGAGCCTCCAGTCACTTCACCAGTGATTGCTCCAATCCGGCCCCGTTATTAAGGGCCTGCTGTGTGAGGGACACTGGGCCAGGTCCAGTTTGTCCCCTTCTGTCCTTGCTCAAAGTCCTCTGGCAGTCCTCCCCTGTGTAGCTGCTCAAAGTGTGGAGGTGATGTAAACAGCTGGCATTGCCCAAGGGCATCTGGCCACGCCTGCTGAAATAACTAAGCTTTAAGATTTGCAAGGCACTTTACAAATACTGGCTCGTTTGGGTTTCCCTACAACCCTCCCATTTTATAGATGGGAACACTGAGGCCGACAAGGGTCACGCAGCTAGTGTGTGTCTGAGATAGGGTTTGAACTGAGGTCTTCCTGACAGCAGGTCCAGCCCACTGCAACGTCCAGCTGCATGAGGCCGGTGGGGTTAGAGCTTGGTTCCAGGACCGGCTTGAGTTGACAGGCCTTTCAGTGGTAGCCCCCCGAGGAGTCTGGGGAGCACGTGTCCTGTGAGAGCCACCTGGGGCGGCGTCACGGGCCAGTGTGAGGAGACAGGGACTGCCGAGCTCTCGTCCTGGGTCATCCGCTGGCCCTCAGCCGTCAGAGAGGAGCCTAAAGGAGAGGCATGCTGAGGCCCTCCTCCATACCAGCTTTTTCCCGGAGGCACTTCCTGTGTTAGGGGCTCCCGTGCTAGGCCCTGCAGCCCCTTTCTTCCTGGCTCCATGCTTCTGGGATGGAGGTGCTTGCTTCTTCTGAGGAGGGGGGCTGGCAGGCCAGGCCCCTGGTCTTTCTGGCGCGGCTCAAGCCCCATTCGGCATTGGGCAGTGAGGTGACATGGGGACAGGCTCCAGCCGCTGTCCTCAGAAGGGCCCGGACAAGGGGGCGACTCCTTCCTCCCCCAGCATGCACGAGGACCCTTCCTAACCATGACCAAAATTCCAGTCTAGAAGCTTGGCTGTGGGGAACGTCTTGCCCTCCTGCCTGCCACCTTTCTCTGCCCCCTCTGAGGGCCCCGAGTCTCCAGCCAGCATGGGAAGGGAGGCTGCTGGCCATGGCAGGAGGGAATCGCCCCGCACCCAAGACCTGCGCCCTGGGCATGGCATCGACCGGCCCTCCCACTGTTCCCGGAGGGGTTTGCTGGGTACATCATGACCTTTCTGGGTTCACGTTTTCCCTCTGCCTGAGCCACTGATAAAAAAGAACCCTCCTTTCCCCTCCCCTTCCCCGGGGAGCTGGGCGTCCAGCCACCTGGGCACCACACCTGCCCCTCCCTCTCCTCCCCTCGATCCCTCCCCCTCCTGGCCAGGGGCAGAGCAGAAGGCACCTCCCCCTTTGGCTTTGTGCAGAAATGGGGGAGCTGGGGTGAGGCTGTCTCTGGAAAGTCTGCTGTGGTTCTGCCTTATGTGTGGGGAGGCAGGAAGTCGAGGCTGGCTTGAACTGGGCCCCGGGGAGGATTGGCCCAGGCTGCAGAGCCTCCTGTCTGTCTGTCCACACTGCTGAGAGTCCTGAGAGGCCCTGGGCTCTGGGCTGGAGAACCTGCACCCCCAGATCTCTTTCCTGATGGCCCCTGAGGTCCCCTGGCCCCACATCCCTGAGACAGAAGCTCTTTCCTCCCATGGAGAAGTCAAGCCAAGTCAACGTGCATTTATTAAGCACCTACTATGTGCCAGGCACTGTGCCAATACCGGGGATACAAAGAAAGGCAAAGACAGTGCCTGCCCTCAAGAAGCTTCCGTTCTAACGATGGAGACAAAATGTAAACAATTGAATAGATCCGAGGTGTACACAGAGTAGATGGAAGGCGATCTGAGAGGGGGAGGCCCAGGAAAGACCACCTGCGGAAGGGGGAAAGGTGGCCTCAGCCTGGTCTTCCCAGCTGGGGCCGCGGCACCTCGAGGGTCCCAGTGAGCAGACGGTCCTGCTTGAGGCCTGTCCGGCAGGCTTGTGGGCCCATCGCCTCCGGTTTGTGTGAATTTGGGCCGCTTCTCTCTGAGCCTCAGTTTGCTCGCCTGTACAATGGGGAGAGGGGAGGCTCCTTCCGGCCCAGAACCTGGGGAAGCACGGAAGGAGTCGAGTGTTGACACAGCCCCGCGGGGCAGCGGGTTCCCTGTGCCCGCGAGGGCCCAGGTGGGCACAGGTAGGCCTGAGCGCCCTGGGCCTCTGTTTCCCCGCAGCGCTCTGCCCGATTCCCCTCCGGACTCCGGCTCTGAGGCCTACTCCCCCCAGCAGGTGAATGGTGAGTGCAGCGGGCGCCTCCTCCCCCTCTGGCTTTTGGGAAAGTGGTTGGAGCTGCGTTATCGGGGTGTGGGGGAGGCGGGGGAGGGAAGCAGCCTCCCTGAACGTGGGGAGATTATCGCTGGGCAAACACTCCCTGACTTTTACCTATTGTTGAGGCAGTGGGGTGGGGGTGGGGGGCACCGGGGTTGGCAGGCGGGCGGGGAGCCGCTTTCAGCTCCGGCCCCAGAGGCCGCCTCTGCCTCCCCGAGATGCGGCCGGCCTTTCTGGGCCGCTTGGCACTCGCCCTTCGGCGGTAAGTGTGGGCCCGGCCTGATGCGGGGGGCACGGGGCTGGGGGTGCCCATCCTGGGTGGCGCTGGTAGCCGGAGCCGGCGTGGGCTGTGCCCATCCTTTGCGCCTTCTTGGAGCGGGGAACCACCCACTGATTGTGGGGAGGGGGTGGTTTGTGTCTGGTGGGGGGCCTCCGGACCCTGGCAGCGCCCTGACCCACGGCTTGCAGAGTGCAGCTGAGAGGGGTCAAGAGTTCTGTTTATCTTACCAGAAACATGCCTGGAATTCCTCTGGGGGGAGCAAAGGGAGCTGCCCCCTCCCCACCATGGCCCCTCCACCCCAGGGGGAGGGGAGGGGAGGGGAAGGGTCTGCCTTCTCCCGGGCAGCCGAGCATGCTGGCCACGGAGGCTGGGGGCTCCCCTTGGGGCTGCTTACGGGCCTCGTCCCTCTGACCCTCCAGGCCCGCTCTGAAAGCGCCCCCTTGAATGTGTCCTGGGGTTCCAAAGCCAGGCCTCCCCTCTCCTTTGCTGGCTCAGGGGGCCTGCCTCGGCTTCAGCCACATGGGACAGGCCGGGTTCTCCCTGCCACAGTGGTGGCGGTGCAACCCAGGAGGAGGTGGCCCCCTGCCTTCCCTGGTGGCTTGGGCACCTGGCTAGGCGTGAGGGTGGAGGAGAGGAGAGACTGGGCTGGGCAGCGGCTTTCCTGGGGTGCAGGGCGAGGTCAGGGTCGGGAAAGAGCCCAGCACACTGAGGGAGCTGAGGAGGAAACTGGGGCGGTGAGGAGCGGCCGCGCTCCGTCTCTCTGACCAGCCCCTTCCCGCTCTCTCCCTCTCCTGAAGACCCTCACCTCCTGCGAACGATGACCCCCGAGAACATGTGCCACGTCACCATGCCCGCCCGCCTGGAGCACCCTCCCCCTCCGCCTCCCGCCACCCACCTGGCCGGCCCTCCCCTGCCTCCCCCGCCCCACTACCCCGTCCTGCAGCGGGATCTGTACATGAAGGCAGAGCCTCTCATGCCCCCCTATGCCATGGGGCAGGGCGTGGCCCCCGGGGACCTGCACCATGCCCAGCAGTCGCAGATGCTTCACCAGCTGCTGCAGCAGCATGGCACTGAGTAAGCACCCTGCCCTCCTCCCCCCTCACCCCCGGGCTGCAGAGCAGGCCTCCATCGGGCTTCGTGGGCTGATAGCAGGGCCTGGGGTGCAGGGAGGTGGGCTGACGTCACCCCTTGGCTAGGGCTGTGAGGCAAGGGGAGGTGCTGGAAAGTGCTGCAGGAGGGTCAAGGGAAAGAGGGAGAATTCATAGGCTCGAGCTTAGAGACCCGGGATGTCCGCTAGTCTGACCTCAGTTACTGAGCTGGAAACTGAGGCAGGCATGTGGGAGAGAGGTGTCAGACCTCACCTGGAAGACCCCTCAAAGTCAAGCAAGCACGGGTCCCGGACCACGTTTGGGTCATGGATCCCACCGATGGCTTAGTGAAACCTGTGGACCCCTTGTCAGAATAAATACCAAGACAGTTTTATAAAGACGCAAAATAAAATACATAGGATTACAGAGGTTACCAATTAGATTGAGCTATGTATCTTGAAATATATATTTAAAAAGTTTGCACACCCCAGGTGAAGAACCCCCGATTTCGTCTGAGTTCATTTTACAGAGAAGGAAACTGAGGCAGAGAGAAGGAAGGGCACTTGTCCGCCTTCTCACCCAGGCCCAGGATGTGCGGCTCTTCCTGGATCCTGCCATGCCTCCTGTCTCTGACAGTTCAGTTCCATTCAACAAGCACCTTTTCAGTGCCAGCTCTGGGCAGGGCACAGAGGCCCATTGGGGGAGAGAGAAGCTTAAGACGCCAGACCCCTCCCCTTCCCCTTTGTGGAGCTTACAGCCAGTAGGAGGAAGGCACATAAACACAGATAACTCTGGTAGAGGGTCCCATGTTTAAAAAAAAAAAACTGAGGAAAGGGGCAGCTAGGTGGTGCAGTGGATAGAGCACCGGCTTTGGAGTCGGGAGGACTGAGTTCAAATCCAGCCTCAGACACTTGCTCTGGGCAAGTCACTTAACCCCCATTGCCTCCAAAATTAAAAAAAAAAGAGGGCCCCATGTTAGGTGCGTTAGAAAAGAACATTAGAGGTGGCCTGTGAGTGGATGGGAGGAGATGCATAAGGCAATGTTGAGAAGGAAGGCGTCCCATTAACAGGCAAAGGTTTGGAGGTGGGAGATCATGGTAGAGTAGCTTAGCCAGACAGCAGGAAGCGTGATATCATGAGAGCAAGCTGGGTGTGTGAATAGGGCAGGACAAGGGTTGAGGGGCTCCTCATGCTGGGGGGGCGATGCCTACCCCCAGCAGCTCAGGGTCTCAGCTTTCTGCCAGGCTCCCTGCACACCCTTCCAAGAAGAGGAAACACTCCGAGTCACCCCCCAACACCCTCAACGCCCAGATGCTCAACGGGATGATAAAACAGGAGCCAGGTACGGTGGCATCCCTGCCCCTCCATCCTGCCAGAGCCCCAACGCCACCCTGGCATCAGCAAGGTCCCCTCTCGCCAGGACCGGGATCCCTCCCCCTCAGCATTGCCAGAGTCCAGACACCACCCTGGCATCCGCAGGGGCCACCTTCACCAGGTATGCCGCCTCTCCTCCCCAGCCCCATCAGAAGCCTAGGCCCCCCAGGGGCACCTGTTGGCGGGATAGGGTGGGAGGGGGAGGCAGAGATGCCCCCCGGGGTGGGCAGAGGGTGGGCAGGCAGGGCACGTCCAGGTGGGGAGAGGGAAGGAAGCAGCCCAGCTACTTGGGCTCGGCGGGGTGGGGCTGGCATAGGACCAAACTCGCTGCCCCCTCCTTTCATAGGCCTCATGCAGGACACGGAGAGCCTGAACGGCTCTTACCTGGATCCCAATTACCAGTCTATTAAATGGCAGCCACACCAGCAGAACAAGTGGGCCACGCTCTATGATGCCAATTACAAGGAGCTGTGAGTGACGGGGCCTGGGGCTGGGGGGGCCTGGGGCTAGGGGACTCCCTTCCTCCCTGAGGCCTGGGGGAGCCTCTGTCCCACCTCCAGAGGAGGCCAGTTCAGGGAAGGAAGAGGAGAAGGAGAAGAAGGAAGAAGAGAGAGAGGTCTGTTGGTCAGGGGAGGCAGGCTCTGGCAGGTGAATGTTTTGGGCAGAGGTGATCAGCTCACTCCCTGCATTCCAGAAAAGTGACAGGCAGTTGGCTAGAGAGGGCTGGGGAGGGGTCTTCTAGGAACCCACAGATCTCCCTACACGGCCCTCCCTCTGCCCTTCTAGCATCAGAGCCAGGAGTGGGGTTCAGGAGGCGTGGCCAGGCCCCTCCTAAGGACCTGCAGGGTCATCCCCCCACTTAAACTGGCCCCGAGGGCAGCTTGGCGCTGGCCTGGCAGGGGCCTTCCCACCTCCAGGAATGAAAGGACGGTGGCAGAGCTCCCGAGTGCTGGGCCTGGGTGTCGGGACCCCTGGGAACTTTGTCCCACAGGACCCCTCCTAGGAAATGATGGCCGAGCCCTGGGTGGGGTGGGGGCTCTTATTCAGAGATGTCCAGGGAGACCAGCTCAGCCAGGGCTGAGCGGACAGAGGAGGCCCCCAGAAGCCTGACCTTGCAGGGCTCTCCCCAACCCCAGGGCTCCAAGGCCTAGTCCAGACCCCTTCTTTTACTGGGGAGGAAACTGAGGCCCAGGGACTCCAATGACTCACCCAAAGTGAGGCGCAGAACCAGGATGTGAACCCAGTTTCTCTGGCTCTGGTGCCACAGAACCCCACGGCCTCTTAGCTCCTGTCGGGCCCTGTTCTCCCTGACCTCATCCCTCTGGCCAGCATTGAGCTGATGGCGGCCCCCAAAGCCCGGGTCAGTCGTGGAACATCGTCTGTGCGTGGGCTGCTTGGGAGGGGGGGGGGGGGGAGAGTAGGAGGCAGCCGCGGCCCCGGCTGGAGATTAACCAGATCGCAGGAGCCCCAGTCTGCTCCCTCCCCCTCTTCTCCTCCCACCTCCTCCTCCTCTTCCTCCACCCTTCCTCTCCCTCTCCCTCTTTCTCCCCTTCTTCCTTCTCCTCCCCCTCTTCTCCTCCCTCCTCCTCCTCTTCCTCCACCCTTCCTCTCCCTCTCCCTCTTTCTCCCCTTCTTCCTTCCCCTCCCCCTCTTCTCCTCCCACCTCCTCCTCCTCTTCCTCCACCCTTCCTCTCCCTCTCCCTCTTTCTCCCCTTCTTCCTTCTCCTCCCCCTCTTCTCCTCCCTCCTCCTCCTCTTCCTCCACCCTTCCTCTTCCTCCTCCCCCTCCTCCCCCTCCTCCTCTCGTCCCTTCCAGTCAGACCGCTGTATCGTCCCTTGGTCCTGGGGTCCGGGGTCTGCTGCAGAGCTCCTGAGGCCCGGGCTAGGGAGGGGCAGCAGTGCTGGGTGGTGGGACTTTGGGGCCTAGTGGAGAGGTGGGGGCGGCCACCTCGCCTTCCTCGCCTTCCTCGATTTCCGGTCACTCTCACATCTGCTGTCCCTCCCTCTCCCTCCGTCCTGGCGCCCTGGGAGGGGGTAGACAGACAGGTCCGTCCCCTAGTGGCCGAGGAGGTCCTGATGTCATGTGCTCGCGGCATCTGGGGCCGGGAGGTTAGAGGCCAGCTGGCCGGGGCCGGGGTGGGGCGCGAGGGCAGTGACCCGTCCAGGACCACACGGCCGGGAAGAGGCCGAGGCCTCAGTGGAGCCGGGTCTTCCCGCGCCGTGCCCACTGCGCTAACCGCCAAAGTCCCCAAGCCGAGATCAGAGCAGGGCCCCCCCCCCCCCAACGCTGCCGCCTTCTGCCCTGGAGAGGTGGAGGAGGGGGAGCAGCGCAGTGGGAGGCCGGGGGGCTGGGCAGATGGCGCAGGCCGTGCCTGGCCCCTCAGGAGTTTCCAGCTTAGGGATTCTCCCCAAGACTGATGAAGCGGCCCCCGCCCGGGCAGGACGGGCAGGGGCCGGAGCGGGACCGGGGGCTGGGGAGGGGGCCGTTGGCCCGTCGGCCGCTGCATAGTTTCACTGTCTCCAAGGCGACGGGCTGTCAGCCGGAGATGAGGCTCCCCAGATGGCGGTTCTTCCCCAAGGTCCGGGCCCCTGCGTGCCTCGTCCTCTCCCAGGGAGGGGTGCTGGGCCTCCGGCTGGTTCTGATTTGCCGGGGAAGCTGGCGGGGTGGAGGGGCGACGGAGGGCCTACTGATGCTTTCCCGGGGGGGACGCTGGTCACTGCCCGAGCCCCCCCCAGGATGAAGCGACCCTCCAGGCCGCACTAGGACAGCCGACTTCAGCAGTGCCAGCCTGAGCGTGGCAGGCTCTCTGCCCGGCTGCCTGGAGAGTCGAGAAGTCCTCCGTCCTCGAACCGCCCTTTTCCTTCTCGCTAGCTGTGGGGCCCACTCTGAGTCTCGGCATCTTCATCTTTAAAACGGGGCCGATACCCGTCTCGCAGGATTGTCGCGTGCTCCTTATGCGTCCTCGAACCTCGAATGTGAAAAACATTGCCTGTTGGAGTCAGAGGCTCAGACCTTGTTTGGTCATTTCGGGCCTGTCCGACTAGCGACCCACGGGGGGTTTTCTTGGCACAGATCCTGGAGGGGTTTGCCGTTCCCTTCTCCAGCTCATTTGACAGATGAAGAAACTGAGGCAAACAGGGTCCAGTGACTTGCCCAGGGTCACGCAGCTAGGAAGTGTCTGAGGCTGAATTTGAACTCAGGAAGTCCAGATCCAGCGCCCTGTGCACTGTGGTGCCTGGGTTCAAATCCCACCTCTGACACTTGCTTTGTGACCTTGTCAAGTGACTTCTATGCTTTGAACTTCATTTTCCTCATCTATAAATTGGGGGCCAGCTCCACGTCTGTGGTTCTGTGTCGCTTGCCTCAGTTTCCTCCTTTTAAATGTCCTCTGAGGTGCCCGTGGCTCTAATTCTGTGGACCTGGAAACGTGGATTGTCATTTTTCATCACCTTCTTCCGGTGGGCTCTGGCAGACCAGGCCTGGGGAGCTCGAGTCCTGGTGGGGGCCCAGGGCGAGCGTGGAAGGTGCACGTGTCTGGGGTCAGAGGGCCAGCCTCGCTGAGGCACCGCCCTTGGGGTTAGGGCTGAGGAATCTTTGAGCCCCGTTTACCGTCTATGAAAGGGCCAAGATCTGGGTCAATAATGGGGGGAAAAGACCCTCGAACACCGAGGGCAGTCACGGCTCTTCGAGAATTCAGTTCTAGGCCCTCGGGGATACGCCCACAAAAAGACTAGCCCTGCCCTCAGGGAGCTTACACTCTACTAAGGGGATAGACTATCAGTCAGTCAGTCAACAAACCCTTGGGGATACAAAGGAAGGTGGCCGCTCCTGCCCAGTGGGGCAGACAGCTCTATGCTAAGAAGCTCCGCGGCTCAGCTCGTGAGACAACCTGGGGAGGACCCCGGAGGGAAGGCGCTAGCCCTTCAGAGGGGCCGGGAAAAGCTTCTGAGACAAGGACGGGGAGAGTTCCAGGCGTGGGGCACAGCCAGAGTGGGGCACACGCCCGGAGTCTGGAGATGAGGGCCTCGAGTGAGAAGCAGAAAAGAGGCAGGGGGTCTCCATGCCTCAGTTCCCTCCTCTCCCTCTAATCCTGAGTCCCAGGCACCCGGCTGATGGTCTGGGATGGGGTCCCGCCCTGAGCACGCCCCTGCCTTTGTCCCCCGCCTGCAGACCCATGCTCACTTACCGGGTGGACGCCGACAAGGGCTTCAACTTCTCCGTGGGCGACGACGCCTTCGTGTGTCAGAAGAAGAACCACTTCCAGGTGACGGTGTACATCGGCATGCTCGGGGAGCCCAAGTATGTCAAGACCCCCGAGGGGCTGAAGCCCCTGGACTGCTTCTACCTGAAGCTGCACGGAGTGAAGGCAGGTTCGGGGCCCAAGGTCGCCGGGGGGGGGCCGTTGGCCGGCACGCAGTCCGGGTCGCTCCCCCTGCCGGCCCTCAGCTTCCCCAGCTGTAGAATAAAGGGACATGATGCTGTAAGGTTTGCCGAGCACTTTGCAAAGATCATCTCGTTGCATCCTCACAGTGACCTGTTATTATCCCCATTTTACAGATGGGGAAACTGAGGCCCAGAGAATGGAAACGCCCAAGGTCACGTACATAATAAGTAGCAGAATTTGTCTGTGACTCCAGATCACCCACTCTTTCATCCTATTTTATTTCAAATTTGCTGATACCTGTGCCTTTTATATTAATTTTAGAAAACAAAAGTCTGCCTGTGGAAGAGGGTGGATGGGGTGGTGGGAGACATACTGGGCTTCGAGTCTAGAGATCCAGAAACAATCTTTGACATTTATTATTTGCGTGACCCTGGGCAGGTCACTTTGCCTCATTTTCCTCCTCTGTCAAGGAATAATAATACTGTGGCTTAGTGGACAGGGGACTGGGCTTGGAGTCAGGAAGACCTGAATTTGAGTTGTGCCTCAGGTTCTTACGGTGTAACTCTGGGCCAGTCACGTAACCTTTCAGCCTCAGTTTCCCCATTGGTAAAATGAAGGCTCCTAATTGCTCCTACGTCCCAGGGTTCCATATGTCATGAGCTAACACATGTCAGGTGCTTTGCAAACAGAGCTGTATATGAAGCGCCATCGTGACCTTACAGGGTTATTTTAAAGAAAGCAGATTTCAAATCCTGAAGGGGTATTGAAGTGGGGGCATAAGTGATCCGGCACCCAAAGTGCCTTCCTTGAACCCAAAGTCTGTCTCTCTCTCTCTCTCCAGCTGGAGGCCTTGAATCAGTCCATCAACATTGAACAGTCCCAGTCTGACCGGAGCAAGCGGCCCTTTAATCCTGTCACGTGAGTCTGAACCCCCCTAGGAGGGGAGAAGCTGGGGGGGGCAGGGGCCAACCCTCCATGCTGGAAGGGCCCTCACGGGACCCTTTAATCCAGCCCGTACCCGAGTAGAAATGCCCTCCATCACGTCCTACCAAGGCATCACCCAGGCTCGCCTCACAGACCTCAGAGGAGGAATCCCCTTGCTTCTAAAGCCACTCTGGCCTTCCACTCTGGCTTCAGTCTCTGTCCCCTGGGGCCAGACAAAATAGATATAATCCTTTTTCCCACCAATAACCCTTTAGACGCTTGAAGATTCACTCCCGGCTTTTTAATGAATTTTGTAGGATTTCTTGTGAGATTTCACTCTCGTTTCCACTTGGTTTCTGTTATTGCTATATAGAAATGCTGATGCTGTTTGTGAATTTATTTTGTATCCTGATGCTTTATTGGGACTGCTGTTTTAGGTAGCATTTTTTGCTGATTCTCTGGGGTTTTCTGGGTAAGCCATCATGCCTGCAAACAGGGATGCTTTTGTCTCCTCTTTGGTGACACATGTGCCTTTCTTTCATTTTTCTCCTCACTGTCATTGACGCTAAGTCTAGAAGTGACTAATGAGAATCTGGACAAGGGGCTCTTGTCTAAGCCTGCCCCTTCCCACATTTCTCAGTGTTTCCCACCAGCCCTTCGCCCACGGTCCCCCACCCCCTGAGTAAGAACACGTCTTCTGAGTAGGTGGGATTAATCAGTGACCCTACGGGAACCAGCTCATCCTCTGGGACCTTGTTAGCTAGTGTCCCGGGGGGCGGCGGAGGGGAAGCCCCCGGACACGGCTCCTCCGTCCCAGGTCCCCAGACTTGCCTAGGACCTGCCCCTCTGAGCTGTCCCATCTCATGCAGGGTCACGCTACCTCCAGAGCAAGTCACCAAGGTGACGGTGGGCCGCCTGCACTTTAGCGAGACCACGGCCAACAATATGCGCAAGAAAGGCAAACCCAACCCGGACCAGAGGTGAGCGGGGCCGGGCCGGGCTGGCCGTGGCGGGGGAGGGGGCGGGCGTGGGGCCACGGATGGGGGCAGGCGCAGAGGACGCTGATGCCCTAATGTGGACCGCAGGTACTTCATGCTAGTGGTAGCGCTGCAGGCTCACGCCCAGAACCAGACATATACGCTGGCCGCCCAGATTTCAGAGCGCATAATCGTCAGGGTAAGAGAAGCCTTGCCGAGGCATGGAGAGCCGCCGTCATTCTCTGGCGTTACAGGCCCATCGCACTGTGAGAGGCCCTCTGGGGTTGTGTGTAGGACCGCAGAATCAGTTTAGAGACACAGAGCGTCAGAGCGGGAAGGGACCTTAAAAGATAGAAGGTCAGGGCTGGGATGGACTTCAGAGCATGGAATGTTGGAGCTGGGGAGGAGCTTAGAACACAGAACGTGGAATGTCAGTGAGGAAGGATCTTAGAACATGAATTATTAGAGCTGGGAGGATCTTAAAACTTGGAATATAAGAGCCGGGAGGGATGTTAGAACATGGAATGTCAGAACTGAGAAGGCTCTTAGAGCAGAGAAATGTCAGAGCTAGGAGGGATCTTAGAACCTGGAATGGCAGAACTGG